ATCTGCATAGGCTTGTTTAAATACACCACATTGCCCTTCACCTGTGTAACCAGGGTTTCAAGACTCCCAAAGGCCCAAACTGCCCCAACTTGCACCAAACTAGGATCATCAACCCGGAATGCAGCAAACTGGCCCTTCCTTGCACGCATCGGCCGTACATCGAGACGCGTAGGGGGTTTAGGGGTTTAGGGTTGAGGATTTAGGGTTAGAGTTTTTTGGGGGGATGGTCGAGGGGCGGAGATGTTAGGGTTTGGAGATGGTTGAGATCAGATCAGGACAAGCAGATGTTTAGCATCGGGACACTTCGGGTCTGTGGATGTTGAATTTTTAGGTTTCGGTAGACATGATATCCCGAACCATCGAGAGACCATAAGCTGGAAGCCTGAATAATTACCACTACCATTCCTGAGGGTCCATACCCGGAAATCCTATTCTAGCAAGCACCACCCCCCATATTCCTAAGCCTTCGGATTTCCCCCAAACCCTAGACCCTAAACCCTAAGGTCCCAAACGCGACTTTGTCAGCTGGAGGGGTGGGAACAAAAGTCCCAAAAGTTCTTCGCGGGGCCCAGAACATGGGGTGCAGGGATCCTCTGACGTCGAAGATAGTTTAGGGTTGAGGGCCCTGCTGAAAAACGGGGTTCACGGTTTAGAAGTTGAAAGGTTCAGGGTTTAGGGTTTAGGAGTTGCCTTAACTACTTGATTGTAGGGTCCGCATAAGTTCCCATGAAGGTCTCTGGACCGTACTCGGTAGGTCAAGGTACTTTGAGCCTAGACAGATGCTGCAGCCCTTAACTTATTTAGCTATGTGTTTGTAGCATATTCATAGCCAGCCTGCATTACCTTGCAAGAAGCACACGTAGAGCTAACATGATGTAAACCGCAAAGACAGATTATGCCGGTCAACACAGGCTCCACTCTTTCCTCAGGTTGATTAAACACTCCAAATTTGCACCCAGCCGTCGGAGCCACCCACCAGGTCAAGCGTGCAAAGGAAATCGAATGCCTTCACCAACATCCTAAGATCCGCAATACCCAAATCCCCAGACTCAGAAACACCACCCTGGTCCAGGCAAGCCTCCAACAGCGCCTTGTCACCATGGCTACAAGGTTGGCCCCCAGCAAAGCTTCAGAATGATTTCGGGATTGATTTAAAAAAACTTCAGGTTCTGGAGCAGAGCTGCGACGGATATATCTTGCTGGTGCTGCCAGCGCAATATCACAGCGCAGTAAAAGCACGTACTACCCTTAGCTTCTGCTCCCCGCCGCTTCTTCGAACAGCCAGAGCGAAAGGCCAACACTGGCCGTTGGCAGCATCCCTGCTCTCGTCATGGTATATTTCATGTATATCTATGTATATATGTATATATATATATATATACTCATTGATGTGTGTGAGAGTATGAATATATGCTAGAACATTATAGTATATTCCAGTATATTGCGTCATATTATGGCTTTTCTTACTTTGATTCTCCTCCTGCCGGCAGCGAATCGGGCTCATGCTGATGTCCTGCCTTGACTTGGCAGGCGGCACCAAGCTGCTTTACAGCTTCGCCTGGAGGTCGACTGCAGCCCCGGTAGAGGGTTTATAGGGCATAAGGTTTAGGGCAGAATAGTAGTAGCAGTACAACGAGCGAGCAGCAGTAAAGTACTGCGTGGGGCGCATGTTTTGGAAAGCGCTAGCAGCTTCATCCTAAACCCTAAACCCCAAACCCTAAACCCTAAACCCTAACCCCTAAACCCCTAACCCTAAACCATCACATTCAAAGGCCCAAAGCCGAAACGCTAATACCCTAGGCCCCGGGCTCTCTCCCTCTCTCTCTCTCTATGTGTGTGTGTGTGTGTGTATTTATGTATATATACATATACATGTATGTATA